GGGGGCCGCCCAGATGATCACCTCATCCCGGGCTTGGGCTCGCCCCGCAAAGACTTCCCCGGCTTTCTTGGACGGCTCCAACTGCACTGTTGGGATGCCCTCCCAACTAGTGAAGTCCTGCAACGTCTTGAGCGCCCCCAGGGCCACGAACTTCTGCTTGAAACTCAGCAAGTAGCGAGCGCCGGAGTAGCGCATGGGCATGCGAGACTCCGCCCAACTGGCTGCGGCCCTGCCAGTCGCCAAGGGCACAGAGTTCCGCGCCGGTGAACTTGAGAAGGGAACCAAGCGTCGGCGCCACCCTGCGAAAGGGGTACGTGCTCTCAAGGCATCGGCGTCCTCCATATACGATTTTTTTTTGCACGCACGCCTTTTTCCGTCCAGCGGCAATGAGACCCAGGGAACCCTCAACCCCCCACCCGAAACGGCCGCCGAGAAAGGCGAACGAAGCGCGCGCGCCGACGTGGCGACTAGCCGCGCAAAGGCAGAAGGCTGGGCCCGGACGGGCCAGCCAAAGCAAGGACATCGGCGAGGTCGGGCTCTCCTTGCGCAGCCGGCCGCGCGCGGGAAAGCCAACGTCCTCCGAGCAGAGTGGAAGCGAGAGGCGCTGAGCAGCGCCCACCACCTGCGGCGCCAACCCGCCTCGGCCGCGCGGCGGACGGCTGGAGGCGCGCGGAGTGCCCGGAGGCGCACCAAGCGATCAACTAAGCCGCACGCCTCGCGGCCCCACCGCCCGCCCGTTTCACAAGCAAGAACGGCCAGCCGCTGCGGGCCAGGCCGGCAAAGCTCCGGGTACCGCGCCTCGTTGCGGCGCCGCGCTACCGCAATGGCTGCGCCGTCCTCCTCGGCCGCGCGTGGCTGCGGTCGGCCGGCGCGACGGAGCGGAGCAACGAGCGTGGCGTCTCAGCACAGCGCTTCGCCCAAGCGCGTGGCGCCGTAAAGAACAAGATCCAGGCGGCGCCTGTCCTGCGCACTGACGCCTGGCGCAGAAGTGTTGGCCGACCACTGCTGAGGGACAACCCTGCCCTCGGGTCCCAGACCTTCGCGCGCGACGCGGACCCACGCTTGTTCAATCAAGGGGGCGCGGCGGGCCAACAGTCCGCTGCGCGGGCAAGCTGCCGCATGGTCGCCCAAGACATCGAGCGCGGCGCCGCACCTCGGGAACCCATCGCCTCCGCGCGCGTGAGGGGCAGCGCGAGGCGCAGGCGCCTGCGCAAGGCGACGTGCATGTGCGCCGGGGGCAGCGTGGTGCCCGGGTCAGTCGGCACAGCCGCAAGCCAAGCCCCCGCATGCGGGCCAGACTGCAAGCGGAGACAAGCGCGGTCGCTCGGCCGCATGTGTGGCCGTAGCTCGGCCTTGCGAAGATTGGAGTTGAGTGCGCGAGACGCGAGAAGCTGCCAACCATGCGGCCAATCGCCTGGTTCACTGTCATCCGCTACAGCGGGAGGGGCCGCGCGCGCAAGGATGTCCTGCCAGGACGGACGCTCGGGCCAGTGGCGCCGGAGCAGGTCGCCAGCGACGGCCGCCTCGCGAAGGTACGAGGAGCTCCCGCACACATCCCTCATGACCGGCAAGGAATCGGCCCAGGCCGCCCAGTAGGCGGCAGGCGCAGCGCGTGTGGCACACAAGAGACTCGGTCCGCAAAACCAGGTCCACCTCAGACAACGCCCGTGGCCGTCCGTCCCGCGCGAAACAGAGGCCCGAGGTGCGCTGGGCTGCCCGTGGCAAAGCCTTCCATGCCTCGAGGAACACCTCTGCCCAGGGGAAGCCGCTGAGGAAAGTGCTGCTTCCCTTGGGACAGTGGGCGTGCAGGGCACTCTGCGTGATCTTGCGCGGCTCGGCCATCGTCACACGCTTGTAGCGGAGGACATGACCAACCAGCCGCCCAGAAGCGCGGACCAGCGTTCCTCGCCAGCCTCGAACATCTGGACGATCCGCCGCTCCAGGTGATTGGCCAGCGAGCGAGCCGGCGCGGGCGTGGCCTCCGTGATAAAGACCTCGAGGTCCAACAGCTCCGGTGGGAAGGACCGCCCCCGCTGCTGAAGGAAGCCTTTCCGCCCAGGTCCGCAAAGCATTCTGGACGGTCACCTTCTCGGCGCGCTTGACCAGTTGTTGGCCCAGCCGCCGGCAAGCCGCCTGCCACTCAGCCCGCAGCAGGTCACTGACGTGGCCAAAGGGCTTGAGAGCACCTGTCTGCTGGAGCACCAGGCCCAACCGCACCGCCTGCTCCGCCATGACCTCTGGCTGCGGCTCCCTGAGGACTGAGCCTCACCTCCCGGCGCCTTGCCAGGGCAGAAGTCACCACGGATGATGAGGGACTGATGAGGGACGCACCGAGCCCCGGTGTTCGCCCTCAATCACCTGAGCCGCATCCGGCACCAAAGACCCCTCCTATGCCGATCAAGCTGCCAACCAGCGATCAGCCAGGCCGAAGCCACCTTGGAGCTCGTAGATGCTGAAGGCGAAGGCGAAGTCCTTGTCGTCCAGCAGCCCGCGCCCCTCCATGGCCATCCGGGCATAGATCCCATGCTCCTGCGCCATGGCGCTAGCTGCTGCCAAGCCAAAAATTGCTGCTGCAGTCCGGGCATACTGAGCGGCCGTTGCGAGTGGCAAACGTAGGGAAATAACAAAGGACGCGCACCGGTGGGAAAAATTCAACGCCGCCGGCGAGGCCACCCAGAGCGCTCGCCCGCCCCCACTGCCCCGCCACCGGGGAGTCCCAGGACCGGTTCGTACGCAGGTTCCCTCCAGGGCCGCCCCAACTGCCACCGGCGCCAAGCCGTGAAAATCGCTCCGCGGCTGAGTCCACCATGAAGGGAGGCATCCACCCAGCGAATCAACCGCTCCACATGCTCGGGCAAGAAATCCGCCCGCACCCTCCCGGACGCAAGTGGCGCCAGGAGCAGGAGATCCAACCTGTCCAGGTTAGCATGGTAGCCACTCCACACTTCGGCCGGTGATGCTCAGGCTGGGCCAGAACACTACGGCGAGTCCAAGTCCCGAGCCACGGGAAAAGGAAACCCCCCCTACCTTGCTCACATCGTGGGCATGGGGAAAGAGTGCAAGGACATTCCGCCAAGGGGGGTAACCCGCCAACAACAAACTCCGCATCAGGGATGTGTGGTTCATGAATGAAAACCACCACGGACTCCCATAGTGCCAAAGCCCCCGCCCGGTCCCCCCGGCGCCTTCAACATGCGCCCTGAAATCCAGCAAGGCCCCCGCAGAAAGAAGGGCCTCATCGCAATGCACCGCCACATCAACACCCTGACGTGCGTACTGCATGGGGCGCACGAAGAAGAAAAATACACTTAGCCAGTTTGGCTCAAGGCACTTGAGCCAAAATGGTAATTGTATAACACCATGAGGAATGATCAGTGTCTACCCAAGCCTACCAAACTCGAGACACAACCAAAAAAAAGAACGCTTTCAAGAGTCTGCGTGGAACATGATATTATTTGCAAAGCGGATGATTGTCCACCTTGCTCAGTTTCTCATGCAAACTTTGCATGCCATACGCTTGGCCTGCTTTGAACAACATGGGCATGGGGCTGATGACATCATGGCCCCGCTTGAGGCCGCGTTTGACGCTGAAGGATCGACCGCGGGCCGATCCAATTTGCCCATCAAACTGGTCGCGCGGCCCTGCCGAACGGAGCTTGAAACAATGCGGCGTGCGGCGTTCTCAATCTTGCAAATGCCTTTGCTAAATCCAGTGAGCGGGCACGGCCAATGCGCGGCAACAAGCCCAAATGTGCTCTTGCGGCAGTGCTGTGACCAGTCCGCTATTGTAGAAACTGTTTCAACTCTGATTGTGGAGCTGGGGGCGTTTTTTGCTCGACGCGTGCGGTCCGCACGCGGGCTGGCGCGAAGGTGGGGAATGCGAGGCCGCGAAGCCCGAGGCGCGCACGATGCTCAGCACTGACAGCGTCGGATCTCGTGAGTGCTGGGCCTTGCACCTCGTCGACCCATTTGCCAACATAAACTTAGCAGAAGCAGTATGGTACAGCAATGCCAATGTGCGTTGTCCTCCTTGTGAATGAGGCAACGCTGGCTTCAGCAGTGTATAGCAGTGTTGTTGCTCGCAGCTGCTCCAAGTGTACTTTTGATGCTCCTTTGTTTGCGCCACTTGCTGAGGGATGGTTTGGGGGACGAGAGGGTTCGCGAGTGGGCATTGGTGAGCTGGGCGGCAGCGCGACGTGTCCCTGCAACTTGCCGTGTATGCCTTTTTTTCATTCGTCTGTCAGGAATGAACACCATCAACGCGTGAGGCCTGCAAGCCACGAAGCGAAGAGCGCCAAAGCTCGGGCTGGCGTGCCGCGTGTTCGGGGGGGGGGAGGTGGGAGGCTGCTGTGCAGCCTCGGACGAAAAATATGTTCATTGCAAACCCAACGTGGCAAACTGTTTGATAGGCGAAGCGGATTTCAAGCAGGCTGGCCACATGTGCTCTTCGGATTGGCAGGCAACTCGTTGGGCGACCCTGCAGCATGACTTTAGGACATTTAAAGGTCAGCGTAGCAGGCCTCTAACAATTACCAAACAATGCTGCCTAATTTGTCTTTGTCAAGATGGTGGAGTCAATGAGCAAAAGGGCCAATATTGAATTCAGGTTTGTGTTGGTGTGTTTTCTCCGCGGGTGTCATAAATGACGCATTGTCCACCATGATCAAATGCAAAAAAAGCAAGCATTTAGCACCAGCAACATCAACACTGCTATCATCACCACCAACCTGTTTGTCTAGGCGTAGAAAAGAATCAGCAGAGAACGGGCCGACCTGTTTTAGCTGTCGCCCTTGAGACGCTCATATAAGATTCAGCTGCCGCTGCGTGCTTCGGAAAAATGAGAAGGAGGACACTGGACAATTTGCTTGCCAAACAAGTCACTCCACCTTTCACCTGTCTTCTCCAGCGCTCATCACTGCGGACCTGCTTACGCCTTAGCATCCTCCGCGGCCATGTGCTTGATCAAATCCACAACCCTGCATGAGTAGCCCCACTCGTTGTCATACCAGCACACAACCTTCACGAAGGTGGGGTCGAGCATGATGCCGGCCTTGGCATCGAAGGTGCAGGAGATGGGGCAGGTCAAGCGCCTCATCCGTGTAGCCGAGGAAGCCCTTCATGTCACCCTCAGATCGCTTTTTCATCTCCGCGCAAATCTCCTCATAGGTAGTTTCTTTCTCCAACTCGACCGTAAGGTCGACGACGGAGACATCGATGGTCGGGACTCGCAGGGCCATACCAGTGAGCTTGCCCTTCACGTCAGGGATCAC